TATTGAAGCCGTTCCTGAAGTTATTCCTACAGTAAATGACTAGAATAATCAGTGTGTACACATAAAAGTATTCAATGTGGCCCTGACATTTTTCTGTATACTGCAAAGTAGACACAAAATTGCATTTTTGCTAAGTAACTAGCATCAATGCTATTTGTAGGAATTAATTCAAAACTTACTGTATCAAGTGTCTATTATTTACATTGAAGAGAGTAAACAAGTGAAATAAATAGAAAATTGGAAAGACACATGGAGATGGTCACCAAGTCTAGTAAAATATTACTTATGACTAAATGTTTGGTCAGATGCATACTTCTAAGTTTATGACCACCTAAGCTGCTTTATACATTATATTTAGACATTTCTGTCTTCAAGACACTCTACCTAAGATATAAAACTGTCATACAAAAGTCAGTTCTAAATTTTTTTTTCTAGTGGTCAGGCTAGAAGGAGCAAATAATCTAAGCAGCATATCTATTTAACTTTTGAGTGTATTATAAGACTCTTATGCTCATTATGTTTTTTAACTTTTTTTATGTGTATGTGTGTATTGCCTGTATGTAGACAAGTGCACCTGTGTCATGCAATGCCCGTGGAGGACAGAAGAGACTGTCAGATGCCCTGGAACTGGGTTACAGACGATTGGTAGCTGCTGTGTGGGTGCTGGGATTCGAAACTGGGTCTTCTGTAAGAACAGTCAATTTTCTTAACTGCTGAGCCATCTCTCCAGCCCCAAACTCATTATGTTTTAATATCTGATTTTATTTCTGTTGTTTAAACCTGATAGTAAGAAGAATTATCTAGAATTAAAAAAAAAAAAAAACCTACAAGTTTGAGGTATTTTGCTTACATTTATCTCTGATCTAACTTTTTTTGGTTAGTGAAGCTAAACCCTGTCTGGAGCTTTGAGGATATCCTGTATCTCTAATATATCAAAATAGTACTCTTCATCTGTCAGTCAGATACAAATTAAATGCTTCATACCAACTTTTATTTTATATTGCATCCTTGAATTTCACTAGCACTATACAGCAACATGATGGAGATTACTCCATGTCATAGTTTAACCCTGTTAAATAATCTGCTTGCAACATACTAATAATTGGCTATTTTGACTCTTGTTGTTTTATCTGAAATTTGCCTGTTAACTATAAGAGAACCATGATTTGAAATCAGATTTATTAATGTGTTTACTTTGAAAACACTAGTTCTCCATAATCAATTGTAATTCTCAGTTAGTTCCATAGCTGAGCAGCATTTAAAAATCACATTCTTCAGCCAAGAGTATCTATATTATGAGTATCCTACTTGTCATTCAGAATTTAAGTAAATGATTTCCAAGCCCTCTGCTTAAAGCATTTTATATTTAACCCATTTTTATACAGAATAAAAATGATAGTGATTAAAAGGAAACCTGGACAATAGTAAGTGATGGTTAGGTTAGTTTGCTCAGTCTCAGAATTTAAAACTGAGCCAGGATGTCAGTACCCTCTTGCTTGTGATTAAGGGTGACTTTGTAGTCCCAGCTTTAGAGATGCATTTTTAGTTTTATGTGGTTTATACCACTGTTGGAGAATGGTCTTAGAGTATTGCACATGCTAGGCAAGTGTTCTGCTATTGAGTTACCTCCCAGCACTGGAGGCATTTGTCATGCATGATAACTACCTGTACTAGGTAAATTCTGTTATTCTGGAGTCAAGTATTTTCAAAGGACCAACATTAAACAGAAATTGGGCTTTAATATAAAGGAGAAATAATTTTCAATTTTGTGTCTCTTCTTTCTGGAAGGAAGGAAGAAAAGGGCAAATATTTCATTCTTTCAAATGAGCTTGTAAATTTTGGTGCAATGAAATTTTAGAATCTAAAAACTTAATTATGGGCTGGATTGTTCAATATTGTCATAAGTTCTTTTTCTCCTTAGACTTTTAAATAGGAAGATAAGAAAAATGTAATTTTTGAATATCAGATACATTAAAAGTGATCTTGTATGAAAAAAAAACTAACAATGCATACAAATTTTCACAGTAGGTTTTGAATTTTAACAGTGATAAAAGTTAATGCAATAGTTTTGTGTCCTGATTACAGAGTTTCATAGACATAGTTAAAGGTTCAGCAAAGAATATTGCATTAGCATCAAAAGGGCATTGTTACGTTATTTACTCTTGGATGGAAATTTTACTCTAATTTAGAACTCAGAAAAACTAATGCTGAATTTAGTCCATATAATCAGTAAGTCTAGTCTGAAGCATCTTTTATTTCATCACAAAATGTATTTCATCTATGAGATCCATCTGAGTATGCTAACTTACTGAAATCATAATGCTTGAAAGCGAGTAAGTGCTTCAGGAGGAGGAAATGTCATCACCTTCTGAACATGCTATGTATTGTACCAAACAAGGTCTGCCTCCAGTTTCATTCACAAAGCTGCAACAAGTCCATTCATCTTTGAGTATCAAAAAGGTCAAGTGATGACATCGATTACAATGTCTGTTCTGAGGATCCTCATTATGTCTTTTGGTATCTAACAAGCTCTTCACCCATTTTAAATCAAATCCATCCATCACCTAAACATACTAGGAATATAGTAACTGCTTAAATATTAGGAAATTAATCTAGTCTAGGGTGAAAGTTAAGGTCCAGCTGTGGTGACAGGCTGTTGGCTCTGTCAGAATTCTGTGCTGTTTCAAGCGGTGAATGAAATGGGTAAATATTTGCAGGTAAACAGAGCTTGAAGTATCATAAGTGTGGTTTACAGGATGTGCACCTGAAAATGTTTCTTCAAGTATGTCAGTGAAGTCCTGAAGTCCTTTACATGCACACGTGTGCATGTGTGTATAAAGAATATATATGAAGACACAAATATTTATATATTTTATGTATGTAAAGAATAGACAGCAACATGTATACATTATATGAACTTGTGCTTGGACTAGCCTATGGATAGCTTAGTATTTTGATTCTTTGTAAAAGATATTAAGCACATACAGCATTTTGTCAAGTAAGTTTCCTAGTTCTCAGATAATGTAGCTTATTTTAATATGATTGGTGGAAAATCAAATGTCCTGTGACATCTGCTGACTCATAGTGCTACAGTTCTGTGATGCAAAGAACTTTAATTTCTAACCCTGTGAGGCTCTATAAGTTTGGGGGTAGCAGTCATTAAGAAACATTGTATTAAAATCCGTTTATGACTTTAGAGTTTTTACTTTTTCAGTTTAGTAGCGATTGAAAAAAATTTAAACAGCATAACAATCTAAGACATGGCTGAAAAAGAATCATGAAATTCTAAGAAGAAAAAAGTTCTTTACGTTGTTGTGTAACAGTTCTAATTTTTTGAAGTATTTAAAATTATTTGAACCATTTAAAGTTATTTAGGTTAATTTAAGTTTTTTTGAGAGCAAGAAGATAAACTTTGTAGTTAAGTGATGTCAGAAAAATATTCAGGCTTATCTAACATGTTGATTTCTTGTTTAGTCTCTTCCTATTCAGTTTTAACTAACTTAGTATTTGCATGTATTTATTGGCTTAATTATGACAAATTTGATACATGTATGCAATTTTTGATTACCAAATAAGAGTAAGTAACATTTCCATATCTTCAAATGTTCGTAACTTTTAAATATATGATAAAATGTTTTAGGTATAGCTATCTAGTGTTCTGTGCTGTACAACACTAGAACTAACTTGTACTGTTAGCTGTGTTTTCGTACCCGTTATCCAGCACCTATCTGTCTCCTCAGCCCACTTGCCTAGCCTCTACTGACCACTGTTCTATTTTCCTATGAGATGAACCTTTCTCACATTCACATGAGTGAGAATGTACAGTATCTGTCTTTTAGTGTCTGTCTTATTTCACTTAGACAGTGCTTCATCCTTGTTGCCACAGATTGCAGTAAGCCTTTCTTTACTGTCACTGAATATTATTCCCCATTTTCCTTATTGATTGATAGATGTATTGTTTGATTCCGTATCTTGGCTGTTGTGAATACCGCTGCACTAAATACAAGAGTGCAGGCAACTCTTCTATATAGTAAGTTCAGTTCTTTGGATATTTACTTAGTAGCCCCTCAGATTAATTTTTAAAGCCCTTCCAAATGTAAGTTTAATTCCCTATTCCCTAAATGTAGGCTGTTCAGTAACTTCCGGAGAAGATTAAAAATATGTGACAGCATAAAAACGTAGTACTTTTAAGTGTTTTGGTCTAAGTACAGGCTTTCCTAGATTTGGCTGTTTTTCACAAAACAAACAAAAAAAACACATTTAACTGAGGATTTCTTTTCCATATGAAAGCTTAAGAAAAAATATTTTGGTTTAAATGTGTTTATTTTAAGGACATTTATTTTTAAGTCCTACCTGGTTTAATTGTTTTGAAGCAAAATATGCAGTAGTGGATACACATTTCATATGGAATAAATAAGCTTCTGTTTGAAAAGATGAAATTTTAAAACTTAAAATCTGTGGGGCTGGAGAAATGGCTCAATGGTTAAGAGCACTGGTTGCTCTTGCAGAGGACCCAGGTTTGGTTCCCAGCACCCCCATGGCAGCTAACAACTATCCATAAATCCAGTTCCAGGGGAATCCAGTGCCTTCCTCAGACGTCTTTGGGCATTGCACAACATGGATGCACTTATATAAATGCAGATAATGCACTCATACACATAAAATAAAAATAATAAATAAAATATCTTTAAAATAATAATAAAAATTATAATCTTTGTAACCCAAAGGAATATGCTTACTGCATTGGGTTTTCTGGTCTCCTCAGAGGATACAGAGCAGTTCCAGGAAGAATGCACTAATTCTAATGTTCTTCCCCTCCAAGATCCTTCTGCAGTGGGATAAACCTTGTACTCTATTCATTTCAGCGATAGATGGGGCTCTCCAAATCTATTCAGAGTTTATTTTAATGTGTGCAACAGAGGAGACCTTGTGCACACTGCACACCTGTAAGAATGGAAAGTCATCAGATAGCCAGAAACCTTTCTGCTTTTCTCTTTTAGTGTACAGACAGGCAGAACTCACCAGTCACATCACCAGGATCCTCCCCACTGGCCCAGAGAAGAAAGCCTCAGCCAGACCCTCTCCAGATCCCCCATCTCAGCCTGCCACCAGTGCCTCCTCGTCTGGATCTCATTCAGAAAGGCATTGTCCGCTCACCCTGTGGTAGCCCCACTGGTTCACCCAAGGTGAGTCACCCCTCCCTTTGAAATACAGAAGACAATGCTCAGGTTCCTCTAAAGGCCATTTCTTGTGTTTGAGGTGTTTTAATTGTTTGTAAACAGCTTTGATGAGTTTCTCACTTTGTCTGTGGTGAGCCTGCTGTTGTGCTCCTTGCTTTATTAATATAAAAGAGTGTGTGTCAACCCCTGATTTGCCAAATTAAGTAGCTACATAAATACAGTATTCCATAAAATGTATTTAAAAATGTCATTATATGCATTAAAGTAATTTTCGTGCTGTTAACAAATGATATTTTATATTCATTTTCATAATGTCATGACTGGAAAAAAATGTGATGTGTGTGTGTTTTCATAAGGTGTAAGGTATAATATATTACTCCCCATGTTTCAGGAGACTCACAAGAGAGAATTATATGTATTTTTTAACCTGGGGGGAATTAATTACAATGAATTATAATATTTGTAAAGTAATTACATTACTCTTTATATTAAAAGCATAATTCTAACTCTGTAAAGTTAAACCTTCAGTTTATTTTAGTTTTATGTCAGTGCTTTTTAAATTTGATAAGAGAATATTTTGCTTTGTTAAATGTAAATTTATAAAAGCTTCAATTCCATTTGCTAATATGCTTACATTATAAAATTGACAAGAAGTACGATATATTTAGTAGTATTTACTTCTTTTGCATTATAATTCACTTGGAACCCTGATTAGGATATAACAGTTATATAAACATAGAACAGATTATTTTTGTTCAGTGACATTTCCTAATAAAAAGCATAAATTGTTTATTAAATAAATAATGTAAATCAAAATTGATCCAGATATGGTGGCTCACAACTTTAATGCCAACACTCTAGAGGCAGAGGCAAAAGGGTCTCTGTGAGATTGAGGTCAGCCTGGTCTGCATAATGAGTTCCAGGCCAGCTGGGGCTACAGGGAGACCGTGTCTCAAAACACCAAGAAACAAAAACAAACAAAAAATTGAAAGCTATATAAAGCATGATTCCTCTTTGTAGTATATACCTTCATATTTTTGTATAAAAATTAGAATGACTTTTTTTTTTCATTTTAAGAAACCCATAAAATGGGGCTAGAGAGATGGCTCAATGGTTAAGATCACTGCCTGCTTTTGCAGAGGACCCAGGTTGAGTTCCCAGCACCCTTGATGACTAACAACCTTCTGTAACTCTAGTTCCAGGGGGATCTGATGCCCTCTTCTGACCTCCATGGGCATTGTTCTTATGTGGTACACTTATATATAAGCAGGAAAAATGCTCATACATATAAAATAAATAGATCTTTAAAAAAGAACCCAGATGATTCAAGTACTCCACCATTCTGCTGTCATGATTTTTTTCCATTTTGTAGCACTATTAAATCAGAGAACCAGAGCAATTGCCTGGCATCGCTTCTATTGTATTGGAGCAAGGAAGAAAATATTTTCAACCTTTTTAAATATTACAAATATTTTTTAAAAAGTAAAGCAATGTAACAATTTTGGTTGTGTTCTTCTATGTCTACTAAATCAAAAAATGTATAAATTGATGATTGACATGATACTATGTCAATCAAAGCATAAAATTTTTATCTTATACTTCTTTCTATATGATTTATACTAGCTTGCAGTTATGTACTCATTTCTACAAAAATTTGTAATGAGATAGTGTCATGTGAGTTTTTCATGAATTTTTAAATATTTTATTAGTGATAAAAAGAAACTAAGAGTGAGTTAGAAGTTATTAGAAATCTCATAATATTCCATTGTGACTAAATACAAATTCAGTAGCATTTTAGTCTAGAAGTCTTTTCAGTTCATGGTGCAAATTCAATTCTTTTTTGGTTTTGTTTTTTGTGTCTTTCATATCTATTTAGTCTTCTCCATGCATGGTGAGAAAGCAAGACAAACCACTCCCAGCACCACCTCCTCCCTTAAGAGACCCTCCTCCTCCCCCACCAGAGAGGCCTCCCCCAATCCCACCTGACAATAGACTGAGCAGACACTTCCATCATGGGGAAAGTGTGCCTTCCAGGGACCAGCCAATGCCTCTCGAAGCCTGGTGCCCTCGGGAAGTGTTTGGGACTAATCAGGTAGTGGGCTGCCGCATCCTAGGTGATGGTTCTCCAAAGCCTGGAATCACTGCGAACTCCAACATAAATGGAAGGCACAGTAGAATTGGCTCCGACCCAGTTCTTATGAGGAAACATAGACGCCATGAATTGCCTTCAGAAGGAGCCAAGGTAAGAAAATCTGCATCACAGAAACCCAAGACACAGCCAGCATCTGTCTGATGGCAGGTTTTGTGCCTAACATAAAACACAGGGCTGTATTGTTTTGCTTGAGTTTGTTTTTTTACCTGCCTAATATGGGACTTCCCTCGGGTCTTTAATTATCTATAGTTCTGAGTAATCAGAAGCTCATTAAACATTCAACTTGGAAACAGGAAAATGTTCTAAGTAATCATTTATTTTTAATATGCAGACATTAGATAATTTTCCAGAGAGTCGTTCACCTTTTCTTATTTAAAAATTTGTCTCCCACAAATAACTTATTGGTATTACAGTCAGTATTGTTTTAAATTTCCTACTTTTATGAAAACTCAATAAAGTTGTTTAATTGTATGTATCAATATCAGCCATGGAATGAGTTTTTGCATAGGATGGTATACTTTATCCAGACAAGAGAAATGGAATGCTCACCTACTTAAAATCACATAGCCTACTTCACTCTTGCAAAGTGAACCCTTTCCTTGCTGACTTCTCACTTGAAGAGTAGTCCTCCTGTCCTCTGTAGGTAAAGGAAAGGATCCAAGTTTGTTGAAGGGGCTGCAGCAGCAGTCACTGATCCTAAAGTCTTGCAGCCCTTGGAAACCACCCTGGAATACTTAGGGTGTTCCATGTCAATGAGGTTTTAGGTGTGAGATCAGATCCTTGTCATCTCCTTTTACTGAAGGTGTCTTTGCCTTTTTGGAAAAGCAATATTAAATTAACCCCAGACTTAGTGACTTTTTTTCAGGGGCATGATCTATTCTTTCTAAGCTATGGATTGAATTTAGTGTGTTTATCTGTTATTCAAGAAATAAGGACACCTAGCCCAGTTGACAAAAAAGCCTTTCCACTAGAGAAGTGGAATCAGGAGGGTGAGTTTCAAGGTCATCCCCAGTAACAGGGGATTGAAGGCCAGGTTAGGCTAAATGATACCCTATCTCAAAAAGAAAGAAAGGAGGGGGGGAGACGGGAGGCAGGGAGGGAGGGAGAGAGCGAGGGAGAGAGGAAAGGAAGGAAAAGGGGAAGGAAAGGAAGGACAGTCCTTAGTTTCTGTGTCGGGAAGTGGTGCAGTGATGATGTAAATTTTGTATAGCAATCATTACTAATGTAGTAGTGTATCAGGGATATCTTGGGGTAAGAAGAGCCAATGCCCACGTGCAGCATTGCAAAATACAGGTGCATTGGTAGCTTTCAATAACTCTGCCAGTGGCCTGCCTTGGCACAGTCTTTCTCACTCCTGTACCTATGAAGGTCTCTAAAGATTTCTTCAGGGTCACTCACAGATGAAATAAACTTAAGAGAAAGCATATAGAAAAAGCAATTTGATCATGTCTTCTGAAAGCAGACGACCTATCCTCAAAAGAGCATCTCTACAACCTAAAGTTCTGACTGGAGGGAATTGCTGGGATTTAGCTTTGGTTTGCTTCTGCCCTTTAGCCTCTGTTCACTCCTACATGATCACATTTGAGAAGAACATTGGACCAAGCTCTTACATGAACAGACTGGTGCAAGATATTTTCTGAATGAACCGCAGACATACTTAAAATATAGTAACTCTCCAAGTCAATTCATTGAAGAGTCCTTGTTTCAGGGTTCTTTTAGTAATAATATAGTAAGTTTGAGTGTGACTACAAAGCTGGCTTTCTAGAATACTGACTGTTAATTTTTTATAGTTAGTTTCAAAAATGGGGGTGATTATTATAGATATGAAATTATTTTTATATTAATTATAGGCTTGAAATATTAATAGTGAGTTCATTATTTTTAGAAAAGTTTCTGTAAATTCTGGTCCGTCAGTTTTTGTGTTCTGCTTATGGCTTTAGACTGTGTACCAGAGAACATTGAGTAAATTTCAAGTTATCTCTTACTAAAAGCTGTATTTTCATCTTGTTTATCTCTGTCTAATTTTTGTCTAACTTAGCCTCATGAAGATTCCTCTCTCCCTTCCCCTGCCCCCCCATCTACACACACACACACACACACACACACACACGCACACACTCGCCCCTCGAGTAAGTACTTTTGTCCTGCAGTAAAACTTCCTCCAATTTTCTAACTTTGTCTCATCTGTCAATTCTTTCTCTGAGAACAAAAGAAAGTTTCCTTAAGGTCTAATCTATATTATAGGTGTGCCCCCCCATACACACACACACACACACACACACACGCACACACTCGCCCCTCGAGTAAGTACTTTTGTCCTGCAGTAAAACTTCCTCCAATTTTCTAACTTTGTCTCATCTGTCAATTCTTTCTCTGAGAACAAAAGAAAGTTTCCTTAAGGTCTAATCTATATTATAGGTGTTAATATGCTTAGTAGTAGGAGCATGCCATGTCCTGAAAGGTGATTTCCTCTTACAGCTAGAACTGGTTTTTGGACCAAGTGAGACTTTTCAGATACCTGTTTTCAACCTTGTTTGATTTCAGTGCAGATTTTGAAGAAAGGTTTTATATATAGTTAATGTATAAAATATAAAGTGAACTGTGTATTCTCTTACCTTTTGAGGGGAAAGTAGTTCCATAAGGAATATCTCACAAGTTATATAAGAAGAATAAGCCTAATTGTTCTTTTTCATTTCTTTGTCCTCAGCATCAGGCTGCTAGTAACAACTGACCTAAGACTACACATTTATGACATGTTCTCTTTCTGTGACCCCAGGTTAGTCTGTCATCAGGCTCTGGAATCAGACTTGGATTTTGCCTACTGCTCTTAAATGCATTAGAATTGTGGTTGTGAGGGACTTAGATCATCTTAACCTGTATTCACCCAGTTATTTACTTCCAAAACTGGAATAAAAATAAGAGAGTGCTTATAACCTCTAACCATCTAAATTCTCAAATCTTTGCATTTGGGAGTACAGCAAAAAAAATAAACCTTTGGCTGCTTCCTTGGGAGGCAGAGACAGACCAGCCTGATCTCCATAGGGAGTTCCAGGATAGTTGGAACTACAGGGAAACCCTGGAGAGAGAGGGGCGGGGGAGAGAATAAGTAAATAAGTAAGTAAATAAATAACTTTGTCATGAGATTTGAGAACAAATTGCAAAAATTTAACTTTTAATCAAAAATGATGGGTGCTTTTTGCTTTTTTTTTTAAGGATAAAATAATCATCTTCCCTCTCCTCCTCTCCTTTTTCTTATCATAGTTCTGTTGCAGGCTTGGGATGTACTCAGTACCTTCCTTGCTCTCCCACAGTATTGAAGCTAGTGGTGGAGCAAAAAAGCAACATTTGCTTTTGTTGGGGTTACGCAGTGGTGCAACTGGGAGAGAGCCTTGTGGAGGAAGTTGCCTGTGGTACAGAGGCCACAGGCTCATAGGGTTACAGATCAGTGTTTTTATTGAAAATAGTAAATGACAGCAATGTGTTCTCACCCTTCATACCACTGTGCAGACTCTGTCTTGTACTTCACATAGACTTAGTACTGTGGAGAGTTAGATATTTGAGAACTGATTGTCTTCATATAAACATCATTTTCTTTAAATGTAAACAAATGCACATTTTGTGCAAGTAGTCAAATTGCCATTGTTACTATTTGAGATTTGGTTTGTTTACTTGACTTTGTAAAAGCTAATACTTCAAAATAAATATCTTTCCATTTGAATGGTAGGAGATCCTAGGTCCTTAAGTTCTAAAGCATTAAGGAGAAACTAAATGTATGCTTGAAATCCTACAAGGGGAATTTTTGGAACTTCAGTTCCTGAGTATTGGATAAGGTCCCACCCTCTAGTGTGTATCCTCTATAAGCAGCTCCCCTCTTCAGTGGTCCTTTTGTAATTGCATTATCTGTAGATAAAAGGTAAGGGGAGCAAAAATAAATAAAATTCTCATCAGTTGATTTATTAATTGCAAAAAGATCTGAGGAGAAAAAGAAATTCTCTAATTATGAAAATTTCTACCACACTTACTTGCTCCCCATTCCATTACCATAATCAAAGCTAGTGAAAAACACACTACCTTTTTAATGAACCTACAAGCTAAAACTCATTAGGATTATTCACCTTGTCTTTTCAATAAGAGCTTCTTTCTTATAATGGAGTTTTCATTATCTGAAATAATAGCCGTATAAACCAGCTCCTTAATGAATATCTTGCTATTTAGATATTTATTTGTTGACTTGTTCATTTTACTTATTCTAGGTGAAAATATTTGCATGAAAATGTTTTAAAATAGGATAAAAACTTGAAAGTTATTACTGACTTCTGGCCATTAGCTAGTACCCTGCTGTCATTATTTGTTCCCTTAGATTAAGGATCTGGCTGTTTCTGTGATAAGCACTATCTTTAAGTTGTCATGTGCTTTGGAATGACATTGTTCTACAGATGACCCTATGTATAACAAGATATCCCTAGATGAGAGTGGCACATGGCCCTCTTCTTGTGATTGTGGCTTTTTGCACTTTGAGTGAGGAAGCACATGTTCATATGGATGACCTTCAACTTATCTGTAAATTTCAAGGGTTTTCTTTCAAAAAGTACATCATTTGTATACAGTAGTTTCATTTGCTATGCAATATTGCAGAATACAAGCTAGGGATCCTCTTCAGACAGTTGTGGGGTGTTTATATACATAGGATAGGGAATATATTTTTGGTACATCTCAAGGGTCTTGTGTTTTAACCTCTGTCTCTAGACAATACTTAAGTCATAGGCAAGCATTTTAAAACATCTAATAGGTGATCATATGAGACCTAGCAGCATGCAGAAAAATACAATGTGGTATAAACTGTTTTATACTTAATTGCACAATGCAGATTTGATTCTTCCACAAATACAAGCTTCAAGGAATGTGCTCAGTCTTTCATCCTGCCTCAGTTGTGTAATAAAATGTTCAAGACACAGTGGGGATGCAAAGTGTGGTCAATAGTGCACAGTCTAGTGCTATTGAGACAGGTCTTCAGTGAACTGACCAAGAAAGGGGCATAAGAAGCATCCAGAAAGTATTTAAGTCCCTGAGAAAGAACATGAAATAATGAAGGAATAAAGGTTCCTATAAGAGAGTCCCTGCCTGTAGGCTTACAGACATGCACAGCTATTTCCATCTGTGGGAATTGTAGGAAGGGATATCATGAATGCTGAAAAGACATACAGTGATATGAAGTAAATTTTGAATATAAAGAGGCAGGTGAGTCCAATGGGGCATTGCAAGCTGAAACCAGTTATTAGGTGCCTTGAATTCTATATGAAGGTTTTTCAGTTTTGTATGCAGGAAATAACTGTTAAAAGTGTTTTTGACTGAGAAGCAATAGTATCAGTGATGCAAAACTTAACAATGTAAGTCTTTAACATTTCCAGTAGAATATTGATGGATTAGGGGCAGTAGGTAGGAAGGCTGAGCACAGAGGTGGGTTTCTTAGGCTGATAAGTTCAGTGAGGTTTCGGCCTGAACTTCTCCAGTTGGTCCCTCTGTACATGTGATAGCCTGTTGTTTTCTACCATTTGTAAACAGTTCCTTCAGATTTCTGAGGAACCTATAATATATTTTTTTTAATCTCAGATGACTGTGGTATGTGGAACTCTCTCAGGTAGTGGCAGCTAATTTCAGGTCCGATGAAATTGAAAAAATTGAACATGGAATTGAGAATGACATAATGCTAGGTCTTGTCCTCCACTATCAAGAATTGGAATCCATCACATTATATTCACAGAAATGAGTACCAGCACATCTAAATCCCTTGCTGTTTGCCTATTTGTGTGATTCAGTCTGTTCATTAGAATTCTGTGTATGGCTTTAAGAATATTCTTAACTCTTAATACATACTTTAGAACTGATTATAGGAAGATCAGTAACTGAACAAATTATGTTTATTTGCTGAGGGTATTTCAGTAAAGTAAGGTTTGGAATGTGCCCCCATTAATAAGGTCATCTAGCCTGTCACCAGTCAACATTCATGTAAGCCCTACTAAGTGCATAAAGCAGACAAGGGAATTTACTATAAACCAAATAAGAACTAAAAGACTTTCTATTGTGAAACAGGTATAACGTGGCATGAGTTCTATAAAGAATGTAACTGTACTGCAGATGACAAACAGTTCAGAAAAGACACAATCACTTTTCAGAGACAGGAGAAATGCCTAAGCTTCTGCTGATCCATAACAAATTTCTAAAGCCATTAGAGAATCTGCTGTTTATACATTGAAGCATATTAATTTTTTTACAAAATTAGGTGGAAGTCACACCTGCCAGAGATTGTTATCTCAGTGATATAGTTTTGTGATACTACCAGTGATCAACTCCATTATTTGTATGATTTGTCGTGTGTGTGTGTGTGTGTGTCTTGTGTATCTATATGAGTGTGCACATGGATGTGGAGGCTAGGTCAAAGCAAAGTCTTTTTCTCAGTCATTCTCTACCTTATTTTTTGATAGAGGGTCTCTCACTGAACCTATAGCTCACTGATTAGCTAAGCGACAGGTTGGCCAGCAAGCTCCAGAGATCTGTCCATGTAGCACAGGGTTTAAAGGTGCATGTTGTCATACCCAGCTTTTGTATGGGTGCTGGGCTCTAAGTGCAGGTCCTCCTGCCTGGGCAATGAACACTTTGCCTGCATTTATCTCTTCAGCCCCAAACCTTTTCTTTGTTAAGCTAAATGGCAACACACAGAAACATTGTGCAATTTGTATTATCAGTGTATCTCATCTAATTTGTAGTATCAGTGTCAGTAAGTGTTTGAGCCTGGTGTTACTCTTTTTTGGCTGTCTTTATTAAATATCAACACATTAGATACTTTTACCCAAAAGAACAACTTAATAATGCATATAAAAATCCATATTTCATTTTCCAGAAAAAATTTTAAATATATGTTTGACAAAAACATTAGATTTGCTTGTAAAAGACTTGGTACTATGTCTGCTCCAGTGTGATTCCAGTAAAGAATCATTCAAATGGTCAGTATTATCATTGGCTTTAATAGTTTGCTGCATGTATTTGTCAGTTAACATGCATTTTTATGTTTAAGGATTTTCTTGAACTTGGTAATGATTCATATCTCTTAGAAAATTTTTCCTCTTTAGCAAAGTTCAAAAAATTTTGTCATGTTCTATTGTTTGGCCCTCAGTCAAAAGCCCATGATAAAATTATTTCGTTTAAAGATATGTTTTATCAAGATGTAACTGCAGCATATTAAATCTAATGAAGAGAGACTTGGAAAAGAGAAATAAAATTTGAATTAACCTGCAGCCTAGTTTTCAGAGTGAAACTCTAATTCTATAAAATTAGGTTTTATGCATTCAATGCAAGCATCAATATATTTCAGAAATGTACTTGAAACCTGCTTCCTCTCATTTTCAGTTATAGATAAGGGTATAGCATTTCCAGCATCTTAAAGGCACAGCACTATTTTAGAAATACGAGGGATAAAAGAAATACGTGGTGGACTGTTGACTGCATTAGCAGAACCCCCAGCTCTCATTCCAGCCATTTTGTCCCACTATGAGTCTCCCTTTAAGAATGAATTCTAAGAGTGTATAAAAGAAGTTTATTATTTTAAAAATTTAGTGATTATTTACAGACTTTAAATGATCTATAATCTGTTCTTGTGAGTATGTCTTGCAAAGTTATCCTTTGATTTTTTTTTAGTCTCTTTTAAGTCACTAATTTCAGATTATCAGAAGAGCAATGAGCAGTTGCTGAAACACTTCCTATAGTATAACTAGTAAATATGAAAGTCAGTAATTAAAGGTTGATTCTCTATAGAACTTTTGAACAAGTTGACAGTTGTCCGTGGTTTTTAAAAACTGAAAATTATATTTGAATTTCCCTGCACTTGGAAAGCCAGAAAATTGTCTACTTATTGTGAGCTCCAAAACTTTGACCTTGACATAACACAGGCCTGTCTGAGTCTAAGCATCACTGTGGTATCAGGAAATTGAAAATGGTCCTGGTAGCCCTAAAGCGATGTCATTTGATGAAAACTTTTATTTGGTTAGAAGTGGAACAGGATTGCATCAGTATTACTTCCATCTTCACAAACTCCTAACCTTGGAGAGAGATAGGGAGAGGGAGGGGGGAAAGAGAGGGGGGAAGAGAGAGAGAGAGAGAGAGAGAGAGAGAGAGAGAGAGAGAGAGAGAGAATGAACACACTCATTCTTGGGAAGTGATAGTACCTGCTTATACTGTCATAACCTGACTTCTGTATATTATAGCATCATCACTGAGTTTTGATTAAGATTCATATTGTGCCTTCACATGATCTGATATGACTTTAAGTTGTGGTAACTCATCACTGAGCCTGCTTTCTCTTAAATAAATTGTACTAGTTTAAATAAACAAATTGTATAATCACTATGAAATTCCAAAGCCTTGCAAGGAGTTAAAGTCCAGTGGCTAACCATTTGATTTACTTTCAGGTCTTCTCCAATGGACACCTTGGCAGTGAAGAATATGATGTTCCTCCTCGACTTTCTCCTCCTCCTCCAGTAACTACCCTTCTCCCTAGCGTAAAGTGAGTTTCATTGAATTTGTAGATCATGTGTCCATGAATAATGATATGGGTATGAGTGTTTTTGAGGTTCTCAGTACAGAAATCACAGAGTGAATAGAAAAGAATCAGTAAAGACAAAAACAATCCATTCCGGTTTGCAAATTCAAGTACCAGACATTAAGACTTTCCAATTCTCTGATATAGCTCCTAAAACACTTACTGACCCCTTGAGATGAGTAATGGGACAAGAAAACCATTTCCTACATCCAAGAAGAGGGCAAAGCCATACAATGATCTCTCTCTCTCTCTCTTCTAATTTTCTTTCTCCCCACTACCCATTTTGTCAACAACAATTTATACTCTGGTTCCTCCATGTTCCCTTCATCTCAAATCCATTTAGGATCTAAGTCCTGTTAATTGTTCTTTTGGAGTTTTCATGTTCAGCCAATCTTCCCATTGCCGGCTTAGCCTCGTAACTGGACTCCTGACAGACCTATCGTATGGTGACCATATCTAATCTCTATAAGTATCAGTGGATTTTAAAGCTAGGAAATAAGTTCACCTGTGTGTCTCCTTTGAAGTAGAAGGATACAGATATGCTCGAGAGTGAAGTGATGCCTAGCAGAGTTAATCCACATGAAGAACCCTTCCTGCCCCAGTCTCGCCTCCCACCTTGCATACTCTCTTCAGTGGAGTCATTTATTTTCTCTTCTGCTTTCCCACCTCTTTCCAACTTCAGAACCAGCTTGACTTCTTTTGTCCTAAAGAAGCTTCATATTTTCTGCAAGCTGTAAGATCCTACAGAATTTGAAACAACTAAAATGTCTGTTATTCCTTTTGCCCTATAATTATATCTCACTTTTCTTTTTCTGATTTCATAAGTTTTTGGTGCAGTCCCCTCCTGTGCTCCACCTTTTCAAAAACTTCATCCTTAAGCTCCATGTCTTAGCCTCTGCTTTTTATGAAAATTTATGTAACGTCTGTTAATAATTAACACTGATTTGCAAAGCCAGGCATGATACAGTATACCTGTAATCCCAGCACTTTGAAGGCTGAGACAGAACAATTGCCGTATTTTAAGGTTACCTGGAGCTACATAGTGAGTTTCAGGCCAGTCTGGGCTGCAAAGTGAGAACATACCTTGCACACACACACACAGATTGCATTTCTCTTATTACAGTTTATTGTTTTATATGCATGTAATTATGTATTCTGCTCTACTGTTTCCTACTTTTAAAAATAATTTAAGGTTTAGAGATCACAAATTTGTCTGTATTTTCTAAACTCCCATGGAGAATTTTTAATTGCTTGAAGTGCTAAGGTCCTCCAGTTTTCTTTGGGGTTTTTCATTTTCTCTTATGGTTTTTGATTGTTTGTTTAGCTATAAATAAAATTCAGGGTCTTATACATGCTAGGAGAGTACTTTACCTCTGAGCCATATCTCCTACCCAGCCAAGGTTTTTTTCTTTTTGATTAGAAGCCTAAAATCTTCTTCATTCCTTTCTCAAGAGGTCCTTGAACTCTGACCAAATATATTAAAAGAAGGCTAAGATAAATCTCAACTTACAGAAATTTAGTCTCCTGTAGAAAACAATATTAACTTTCATGAAATCAGCAGAGAACGCTACACCAAATTATGTAATGCTAACAGTTTAAAGGAAAGGCTGTCAAACAAGCATGTTTCTTAGATGGGATGGAGTGTGAGCCTCTGAGGATAGGCACAGTTGGATACTGCAGTGCCTGAGACAAAGGCAGAGAGAAATTGAATGTCATTCAGCGGATAGTGGAGAAACTGAGCTAGTGGCCCAATCTCCAGAAGTAACTGCCAGATCTTTAGGACACATAGCAGTTGGAAGCAATCACAAGTATTCTGTGTCATAGGTTCTAAATCAGTGAGAATGTACGTGATAGTCTAGCTCCGTGTAAACTCCAAATATATGTACATATATGTACACCTGACCTGTCACCTCTGTTAATTCTGAGAATTTTAGGAAATGAAATAAATGAAATATTTCTAGTTGCTGTTTAAATTTTCACACTGTGCTTATCACATTCATGTGGCCAAGTGTGATTAGAGACGGGTTATATTCGCATGATTTGTACTTGACAGTAAGCTCTGCTTCTTCTGTAAATAAGAGGAATAGCAAGATCATGGTGAAAGTGTGCTTACTGAAGTCTTTCTGATATCCTGGTTTGTGGAAGCCCCTGAGATTGTGTGGTTATAACATCTATCATTTACTCCTGATTTTTACCTCAAGTACTGATGTTTTAACTCAAGAAATATTTTACCAAGCAAGCTTAGCAACAAATTTGTTTTTATTTTGCATGCTACAAGTTAGCCATAGTTGGTTTTTACTGACAGTATATTTCCATTTTCTTTTTCCTGAATGTAATGGATAAAAAATATGTAAATTATATAAAAGAAAATAGAAAATATAATCTTAACAGTACATAGACATATTCCAAATATCAATATCCAGAATTAATATTATGACTTTTTCACTGAGATATGTTTCAGCATCATGTAGTAATTTGTGGGGATAATTTCATGGTCTCCTCTGTAACTTAATACTGTCACACATTTTATGCACTGTATTTCCTATGAAAGCATGAAGTAAGCAGTAGAATAAAATCAGCCTGGACTCCATGTTTCATTAATTGGTTTCTTTTTTTTTTTTCTTTTTTTACTTTTTTGACGAAGAACCTTTTTGGGGCTTAATTATCTAGCTAATAAATGGGAGGGTTAGTTTGACTTAAATGATATCTAAAACCCTTTTGAGGTTCTACTTTCTATGAAATGCTTATTAAGAGTTACTCATGATATTAATTATATGTGATACTTTGATAACCTGGATACTCAAATATAATTGGCTGATCATGTCCCACTGTAGAAACTAGTATGGGTTGAACTATTACCCTTACTAATATTACTAACATTATATTAGTTATAATGATTTAATAATCATTATAGTGCTCATATTATTTTAGTAAACAGTATAAGGGTAATAATACTATAACATTGGCTGATACTATCATGCTCATTATTAATACTGATCTAATTTGACCATGTTTGAGAATATGACCAGAGTATCAGGAGCATATGTTTTTGACTCTGGAGAATCATAGAGCATGGGTCTTTGGAAGCTGCCATTCATTTGAGGAGTACTATGGAAACTAACATACCCATTGCCAGGCTAGACTCTTGGTTCCTGTTAAAAAATGAGTTTTTAGCAAAATTGGAAACTGACACCTACACTACACCTTACAAATCTCACACATGTTGAAAAGCCATAGTTGTTAGAATCAAAACTAAAGCTGGCACTTAACTTTTAATTTCCACTGTATTAGAACAATTAGAATATGATTGTTAAGGATTTGATCCTGGTACTAAATGCCCGTTTGCTCAAGGGTAGAGGCTGTTCTGTTAAAAGATTTCCTTTCAGGTTAAACTACATTTTGGTGATTATGAGATTTTTTTTATGAAATTTAAAACTCATTTATAGAAATATAGAGATGTAAGGCAAAAAAGTGAACAAAAAATGTAATTATACAGATCTTTGTTTTCTGAAATGCTTTTTCTAAATGTTTTTCTATTTAACATTAGTGACAATTAGTCATAAATAAAAAGCTTTAAGTAAATGCTGAAAATACAGGTACT